TTTTTTTTCTCCCCGACCCCCCCCCCACACCCCCCCCCCCGCGAGGGGGGGGCTATGTTCTTACGAACTCCCTGTATACTTGAAGGACCTCAACTCCGCTCTAGCCCGGCATCTTCAGAGCATGGAGTACTCATGTAGGCCCTTCGGTGATTCCTAGTCTCTTCAGCCCCTATAGGTGCCATTTCTTTTTCCATATCCATACCGTGTTCCGTGATTCTACTTATCCAGGATCCTGTTTGGTAGCACCTCGGGTAAACACTAGTCTTTAGACACAATTGCTGCAAGACTTGCACACAACCCAAGTACGGTGGGAGTGTTGCTGCTCAGACATGTTGAGATTGCTATCACTGTCACGCCACGCAGATTGGAATGTCATTGTTCGTGGCTCTCGCAAGGCCTCCGTCTAGACGGTGTGTGTACGCCCACATGATGTTCAAGCCTATACACCCAGCCCTCAACCTGCGCCTCCACCGGAGTGCTAAGTGGAAGTAAGATCACATGCCGGCTACTTCAATCATGTTTTGCCAACGTACTTACGACCCTACTTTCAAGTGTTGATCCAATAGTTCTCTCCAAATATCCAGAGTAGGATCTCCTCAGTGTGTTTCGCATAGCAAGAACTTCGATTAACGACCCTTCCTCACTTGAAGTGTCCATGATCGATGACCTAAGCAATGGCTGCATGATATCATGGCAGAAAGCAGTTGGGAGTTCCAATTTCCAATCCTCTGCCGAACAATGCTTAACATCTGAAAGCACTGGGAGTCCTTTTTGGTAGACTTCACCGGCAATTTAGGGGCCGTGAGAATGTTGCATAGCATTGTGCTCTGGGCCGTACAGGGTTACGGTAAATTTATCTCGCAACTATGATCTTCTTGCTATTGACCGATCAATTAAGTCGCGAAGGGATCCCCAAAAGAAGTGTCCCAAGTCACTGGATGCAGTAACCTCCAAACACAACCCTGAGCGGCATGGTGGCTTGCCCATGAATCCGGCCTGTCCATGGTAGGAGAATCACCTGCGATTCGGGGAGGATGAGATGAGTAAACGTAGGTTAGGATATGTTTAACATGTTTAGCTGTAGTTATATGTAGTTGTCCTGGTTAAAGAAGGACTCCCGTAGCCAGCTTGAAGGTCGACTGCTGAACCAGAACGACATTTGGATCTGCACCCGAAAACCCACTTTCTTCTCCACGGAGGTGGGAGTTTCTCAAAACTCTAGGTATCGCTTTGAGGTCCCTACAATGAGGACCTCAGTAGTTTGTGAGCAGGGATAGTTTTGAGGAAGACCCGCTGACCCGAGACTGGTTGGCATGTAAAGCCTTCAACGCTAATATAGAGACCCAAATATTAGAAAAAGTTGCTTGTTCCTCTAGGAGCACCTGAGTTTCAATGCATTGCTCGGTACAGGCTCAGGAGTAACGGCTGAAATTTCGGTTTCCAGATAATGTTCGCAAGGGCCCGAATAGTTCAATAGTAGTTTCATTATGTCGGCCTTGTAGGCTAGTAGAGAAAGTTTCTGATTCTCTTGGGCAGCTACACGAAACCAAAAGACAGCCTGAATTCCTGCGAGGATATCTGGACCAAGTGAGCATGCGCCCTCTTCTCATCTCAGGACACGCTGGCTTGCAAGCATTTCCGCTGCAAAAGAAGTGAATACATCCAAGGCCTCTGCGAAGCAGTGAGGATTAGCCCCTGTATGAGTGAGTTTGAACCAGTCAGAAATATGAAGGGCTACAGGGCCATCTCCTTACAGAAAAACAAGGGATTGGGTTTGAAATAGCCCACCACGGCAGTATGCCTGTCTTTCCCGCCGCCTGCGAGTCAGTGGGTCCAGCTTTGTCTGCAGCATTAATCCAAGTGTTCCCATTTGAATCTGCATACGTATGCTATTCCGCATGGGAGCCTGAGTATCTACCAATCACAACTTTGCCTGACCCCAGCATAGGCATACGCAAGAAAAGCCACCGTAATCAAGACCATGCGTAGCGAGTTCAGTAGTCTGCGAAGCTCCAGGACATGGCTTGATGGAGGGAGTGGTGAATCATGGAGGGCCCACAAGGAAGCATCTTCGGTTGAAAATTGAAGCGCGCGTTGAGCCCTCCAGATTTCTTGCAGGTCCTTCGGGTTTGCCCGTGGACGCATCTAGAGAACAATTACATGACGGAATGATCCTGCGACATAGTATAAGTGACGCATGGGGTCTCATGTGAGCCACAGTTTTTTTGGCATCCCAAGTTGCAGGTTCGCCGGTCCCTGTGCTATGCGTCGTTCATAGCAACATAGTCACAGTTTGGACGGCATGTTGCAGCGAGTTGGAGTACCGTTAGTCACTTAGAGTTGTGGCATATGTATGCACGCGCTGTTTCTGCATGAGTTACAGTGTAGTGATGTTTGTACCTTCGAAGTGATTCCAACATCACTACTTTAATATGTGTTTTTGCAATGCACACACTATATGTCCGTGGGCCGAAGACAAGACTGCTTTGCTTGTCACAGCTCGCTTTCAACGCAATTTCACTTTTTTCTGTAGTCTGAGTCTTATATATCTTTGTTCCAACCCATGATCACTTGGATTGTGCTTTTTTCCCTGGTCCAACCTACTGTTGTTGCACTTCTTTATCATCTACTTTTCATTCACGTTTCGTCACCTTTCATCTACCTTTCACTCACCTTCCTTCCACCTTTTCAAGTTCACCTTTGCTTACCGTTTGCATTTTCTACCTTGCGAATTCACGTTGATCTCTTATACATGGAGGTTTCAGGACGCCGTGACAGCTGCCGCCCTTTTCCATTTGAGGCAATGCAGCACCCCGTAGCACTTCAATCCCCACCTGCCAGGGGCGATCTCGGGATCCCTAAGACTCCATGTGGTGACCCTTGTCGGACTGACCCATCTCAGGCTCAAGCGTCCTCCAATGCGCGAGCTTCAGCTGAATGTCTTCCCTGACCAGGACGCACTCCTCATACACGGGGTTTACGGTAGGGTGAAGGCTTGGCCTAACAATTAATATGAGTATGGGTGCCCTTGGTGATAACTTTATGTCATAGAAGGCTTTTCAGGGATGATTGCTGGGGAGTTTATGGGGGTTAAGAAAGCAGTTCAAATCAAGACTTTGTTGCAGCACAAACTTCGGAGCTTTGAGCACAGATTCCACAGAAAGATCTTCGATCCACACCAGGCATCCCAATCACCAAAACTGAAGAGCAAATATGGCAGAGCCTGAGAGATGCAAATGGCAGATGTGTAGTCCATCCTCAGCCCTCCACTGCAAGAGTGCCGATTGCAAACAAGGAATACATCTCACCCGGAGTAAGAAGCATGTCTTGTGAGGACTCCGTTTGCATAGACCTGCTAATAATTTGTGGCGAGGGGATAGGACATGTCAATGCTGCACTTGCGTAATATTGTACATTGTACAAAAGCTAGTTCTTGCTTCGGTGGTAATGACATGAGGAACAACTAACACCAAAAGAGATGTTTGACAAGCATTGTTATCATGGGTTTTGCAGTGGCACTGTTCATATGATGGAGTACACGCCTAGTACAATTACACCAACAATGCTGTTGATGAACGAGAACTTGCATCGATGTTCAACTACCGCCCATCCCTCCCAAACCCTGAATCTTAGTACTGATGTCAAACAGCTCGCAAGAAAGGCCTGTCTGCAAATGGACGGAATTCTGCATCACACACCCATGTCATCAACATTGACATTCGAGGGGTAAGGGAAGTGAGTTAGTTATCGCGTCATGCTCTTCTTGCTATGGGTCATGCACGTTTTCGTCCACCCGTCGCAGTAGCAACAGTGGCAGGACAGGGAAAACCATTGTAGTAGTTGTGATGCTAACAACGATAAGCAGCGTAATGATACCAGTAACTCACCTGCCTACTTGTATAAATAGCAAGAAGAATGAAACACTCAAAGTAGCACAAAGGATAGCTAGTAGTAGTAGTAGTAGTAGTAGTAGTAGTAGTAGTAGCAGTAGTAGTAGTAGTAGTAGTAGTAGTAGTAGGAGGAGGAGAAGTAGGAGAAGTAGGAGAAGTCGTAGTAGTAGTAGTAGCAGCAGCAGCAGTAGCAGTAGCAATCGTGCTAGCTAGTAGTGGTAGTGGTAGTGGTAGTAGTAGTAGTAGTAGTAGTAGTAGTAGTTGTAGTAGTAGTAGCAGCAGCAGCAGTAGCGGCAGCAGTAGCAGCAGCAGCAGCAGCTGTAGCAGTTGCAGTAACAGGCAGTAGCAATAGTGCTAGTTAGTAGTGGTAGTAGTAGTAGTAGTAGTAGTAGTTGTTGTTGTAGTTGTAGTTGTAGTTGCTGTTGCTGTCGTCATGTAGTAGTAGTAGTAGTAGTAGTAGTAGTAGTAGCACCCGCTCCCACTACCAACTACACTTGCTCTAGACCATCTTAAGAGCAAATCCGTTTTGCTCGGTATTTACAGCACTCTGGTGGAGTAGTAGTAGTAGTAGTAGTAGTAGTAGCAGTAGCAGTAGCAGTAGCAGTAGCAGTAGCAGTAGCAGCAGGAGTAGTAGTAGTGGTAGTGGTAGTGGTGGTGGTGGTGGTGGTGGTTGTGGTGGTGGTAGTAGTGATGCCAACAGTTATTTGCCAGAAAAGTAACATCGTAGCATACATAGTGTTAGACGCACTCATGGCATTATTGAGCTGCCAGGATTTATCGAGTGAATCGTAGAATTCGCAGCTGCAATAGTCTTGGCTGAAGCAATGGCGACAGTTATGTTGGCAAAAGCTACAACACTCCTGATTTCAACTAAAATGCAACGATGAAAAGAGTGACTGTCGCAAGAGCAGTACTAGTCATCACAGCAACAATAGTCGTAGCTGAATGGCAGCAGTATGGGCAGAATACGGCTAAAGTTGACAATGAAAGGTTGGAAAGTTGCAGCACTAGGGGTACTGCTCAGACCCGTGGCAGATGCTGTTCTGCTACGCGTGTTGCGGTGGGTTGCGAGGATCAGGGCCTGAAATGGTATACCCAAGAAAGTTGTGATTCCTAAGCCTGTGTAATTCAACAAGGGACACCCAGTTTGGGTAAGCTTCCTGTTTCTCCCCGCAAGGACCGAGCTCTTCCAGGCGGCTTGCCAGAAAAATGGGGTCCTCAAGCTGGCAAAAGGTCAGCTTTCTGCGCACGAACGATCCTGACCATCATCAAGGACAGGGGGGTTTGGGGCTTAGGTGTTCTACGGTAGAAATTATGGGCCCCTTAGAACTTGGGGTGTTTTGATTCTTTATTTGTCTAGACTCTAGATTGCACATGCGGGCATACTTGCTAAGGTTGATAAACTACCGATTAAACAGTCTTGTCTTTAGCACGTGCACTTCTGCGGTCCAACTGTAGTTTTTCGAGGCTTCCTGAGTATCTCGACAAATTATGCCTTTACACGTCTTAAAAACTACTTGAAGGTTCTGACTCAAGACGGGTTTTATTGCAACTTGCAAAAGTATTATGGGCATTCTCCTTATTAGTGCCACAACTGGAATCCCAGATTGTCGTTCCGGTTTTTAAGCCTTGCATCACCGTTTTTCTGATGCTTTACCCATGCGGCTAAATGGGGCCCCAGGGCGATGCTGCCTGTAAGACCAATCGATGCTTGTTATTGACCACAGTAAGAACTCTTCTATGACGTGCTTAAGTTGCATCCTGAATGTGCTAATCATGTGGTTCATGTGGTTCTTCCCCCCCCCCCCCCCCCCCGGTATTTCCTCACAATGGCTACCAGAATCCTACTTACTTGAATCGTGCTCGTGATGCTGAAGTCATGACTCACTACAACCTGCTTTTGGCTGTATTTTCCCCAAGTCTCGCACACCTAGTGGGCACTTCTAGCCTGCGCAGCCCTATTCTGGGAATTCGAATAATTTCTCGTAGCTTCATAGATATCATTGCATACATGGTCGTGTAAAGTTATGTCGGAATTGTTCTGACGACAAGTTGCAGTATCGAGCAAGGATGCCGGCACCATCGCCTCTGCAATCGAAACCAACCTGGTGGTTTGCTCCGTCTCGCCGGCACTTGCATTAGGGGCTACGATTGCAGTCCAGCTGAAATCAACAGTGACTGAGAATGTTGACCGGATTCCTCGTAACGACTGTGCTCGCAACGACCTGAAGATGTCTGAAGGACTACTTATCGATGGGTATCTGGACCCGCTTCAACTTGAGGTTTCCGTATTCAGAGTGTGGATAATTCGGCTTGTACGACTCAGACCTGCGACGCTCGGACCCGCTCCCAAAACTCAAGTTTTCTGATCAGATGAAGCCTTGGATCTTGTGAGGTCTGGTTTTAGTAGTCAGACCGCGCCTGCCAGGAAGCGAAGCTCGTTGGCCAGGAGTGCGCTCAGGGCGCCACGCGATCGATCCGAGCTGCGGCCAACGCAGCAAAGTATATGGCGGAGCGGACGGGAATGTATGCAATGTCTCGTAGGTCATGGATGAACGAGAAAGCTGAAGAGTCGACATTGAAATTTTTGGGACTCTAAGGCCTACGTCTTAATCTTGAGACCAGTCAGAGTCAAACTACCGAGGGCTGCATCATTGGAGTCATGCGTCATGCAGCAGAACAGTGTAGCGCTCTGAACCTTGAAGAGTTTTCTGGCACATCTAAACAGAATGACGAAAGCGACAATCAGACATTAGGGTTGAGAACGCAGTGATGCAAGTCAACGCTGAAGAGGCATCCTTCCAACAATACGTAACCCTACGATGCATAGTCGCAGTTTCCGCTTCTGCGGCCCCTCCGGATATTTCAGGAGCTGCCAGTGCGAGGTTGCAACCAACAATGGTGCCCTGGCAGCATCACGACGACATGTCCCGCACAGGGCTAGTTCTGCAACTCCTGACGTATCCTGAATGGTCGGTGGCCGGAGCCATGTCGAAGCGAAACTGCACTTGGATTGTGCACCAAGTTCTGTAGCATCCCTGGTTGGTGCGCAGTTCGGATGCTTGCTTTGCTATTGCTGCTGCTGCTCCTCCTCCTCCTGCTTGCGGCTGCAGCTGCAGGCGCAAAGCTTGTCTGGTGTGCAAGCCGGAACCTCCAGAGACTTCATATCTGCCGGGTGCAGAAGGTCTCCAAATGCGAACTGTACCATAATTGTTTTCTTGTTGCTTCTTCCCAGCAGGGCCAACGCATAGCGATTACACAGATGCTCCAGCGCATGAACCAGTCCTGGTCTTTGCCCTGAACCCCAAGCCTCAATCATCGACCTTCATGCGGCCCAGTGCTGACGAGTCTGAGGTTCAGGGGCTACTACAAGTGCGGCGAGCGTCTGGAGGCCCGCCAGATCAGCATTGCACAATATTGGGGCATGGCACGACACTCGGAACCCGCAAACCAGGGTGCATCATGGGAGCTGGATGCTCTGGGTACCGAGCTGGGAAACTTGGCAGCACGAGTTGTATCTGGCTGTGTATTGAACTGTTGATGGCGCACTCGTGATTTGTGAAAGGAACCCAGGCATTCAACAAAGTGTCACGTGGTTTACAATTCCACAAGATGGAGTTGTCACGACCAGCTTAGGTGAGACAGTCGAAGCCTGCAATGACTTGGACCTTGAAATCCGTCACATCAACAGGAAGAATTCCCCCATGAACACAGACTACAACTGGGGCGGCTTGAATGCACATTGCTTTCATGTTGATGCCTGCTAGTCTACCCGGGAACCTGTTAGCTTTTCTCACCCAGGGTGTCTAGGCCCCTCTTCCTGATATCATCAATTGCTCCTTTCCGTTTAGGAAGGTGCTGCGCAACACTGGCGGTACTGATAGGCCCACTCATGTATTGTGAATCTTTCCTTGCAGCACAACATGGCTGACTATAGGAAGTGTCGCTGCCACTCTTGTGGTGGTTGACATCCTGTGGCCCTGCTGTATGATCTTGCATGATGAGTAAATGAAAACACTTGCAAAGCCCCTTCCACAGACCCTCTTCTAATTGTTTCGGCCTCTGCGCGAGGCGCTTGTGCCGGTGAAGTTGCTTCCTCGGCTGGGTACGCGTGGCTCAGTCACGTTGGGCACACTTCATCTACGGATTTGTGGCGGACCCGTAGCCTGAGAACCACAGAACAAGCGTTCTACGACAGGAATAGGGCTTTGGGGGTGCACCATGCTATGCCACAGTATTTGCTGCAGTTCTTTGTCATGCACAGCTCGCACGTCAGATCCACGGCTGGTATGTACCTTGCCACCGCTGTGGGATTTGACTGTCCGTCGGCGCTGCCTCTTGACAAGAAGAAGGCCTGCCCACGGGTATTCCGGGACTTTGTGTGAGATCTAAACCAAGATAACTATGGTGGCCAATGCGGAATAGAACCCACGACAAAAGTTGCGGCGAACAGTTTGGGAAGCCGACGAGACAACTTACCTAACACAGCTATTGTACTCTGCAGCGTCGTCGAGGTGCTTTCAATGTTGAGAGCGGTAAGTTCCCCACATCCGCAGACATCCTACCAGCAATCTTCTCTAGATGATGAAGAAACATTGTGGGCAGTATGGTGAGTATGATGGGCAGTGGAGGCGGCTGCAGTCTCTCTGAGTGCTCTGAGATCAGAAACTAAGAATTGAATCCAACGTTTTTTTGCTTCATCTCATCCAAGACATATTTAGGGGGACAGCATCTAGGGCTCGTTTGGAGCACGCTTCTTCGATATGCCACCCAACAAGCTTTTCAGTTCTGCAAGGCAAGGATTTCCCACAGCTCATGGATGTTAGTAGCACGGGTATTGGCCAAACCCGATGATATCTTCGGCCCTTTGAACGCCTCTGGCCCAGGATCCCGGGAGCAAACACACTCGCACACACACCACACTGTGGGCTTGTATGTCGCCGCTATTGAAATTTTATGCTGCGGGCTTCAAGACGAGAGGCCGCGCAAGATGCTGCTCTGGAACCTCCCTACGCATTCCCGCGCCTTGCCAACAATTACTTTTGCGCTGCTGGTACTTGTTTTTGCTGTCGCCCCCACCACTGCTGAACCTCGTACCTGGAAAACCTTAGGGCTATGTTTGCTGGAAGCATGGATTGCATCTGTGCGCACAGGCTACGTAGCGGCCGTAGCGGATAACTCCCACACCAGGCGTGGCTACACTCCTGCAGAGGAGGCACGGGATCTTTGCGCTCAGGAGCCCTGGACGCAAACGAAATTCGAGCTTTCCGTCTAAACTACATGTGCAGCTGGCGGAATGTTGCTCTTGGAAGCTGCGGGGGAACAGTCTGGAACTGGGCTGCTGGTGGTGATGTTGTTGCATTTGACAATGTTATTCAGGCTGAGGCAGGTGCACCGAACTATTTGAACTCGCATAATGATCTATGCTGCCTCATCTGAAGCAACAAGTCGTGCCGTGAATGCATCGCCGAGGAATCACTGGGATTCGCACGGACCCTCTTCTTGTCTGGTACGAAGGCGGGCCATCTGCGATGCAAAGTCTGAGACTTGTAGATGACAACCGGTGGCCCAGTTTACAAGGACCATCAAGGAGCAGTTGCCTCCCCCCATCAAACAACTAACGAGCCCTGAACCCACCAAGTACAAGCACGATTCCGGTGGCAGTTTTGCTTGATATTAGACATGTCGCTCTTTTAAAGACGGGTTTAAAGCCGGACTAAAGCTGTGGATAGATGTTGGGCAGGTGTTGTGGTAGACAAGTAATACTTTATGCTTCACAGTGGCAGCTGAAACCAAGGTTGCAGGAGATCGTTCGAGGGTTCGGCACGTTGTTGAATATTTCGTCCGATGAGAACGAAGAGCGCAGTTTGTAATCATAGTCTGGCACAGGAACCTGCGTGGAAATATCCTCCATATTCCTTACTATACATATCCTGACATCCTACTCCACGAAAAGGTCCCGGTATTGCTGCGGGGCTTGGTCTTGGCCCGCTAAATTGACATTGCATTCTTAAGACACTAGTGCGCATGAGAGAAGATTCCTGCGTGCCTGTGTATTAAACTGTAGCGCGCAATCTTTCCGAAATCTTCCAAAATCTTCATCCGATTTTGATCATTTTCGAAATTCGCCGAAGCAAACAACATGCAGCCAAACAAAAAGCCAGATCGCACACGCACTATACCCACACAGGAGGGGCCATGTCGGCACCACCGCTCCGGGGAAGGAACAGAGGAAACGGCATCAACAGAGCCATTGAATCATCTCGGCTAGTGCGCCTGGAAAGTTATGCTCTTCAACGTGCGGAAGAGGCTGCGCCTGTGTCTGGCAGACACCGCTGCACCGCCCTTACCTGTTCGTAGCCGGAAGGAACGGATTTAGCGTGGGGGGGGAGAGAGAGTGAGCCAAGGGGCTCAGAAATTTCTGCACACAACAAAGCTGCCCAGGGCGAGCTTTGCCATGCCATGTTCTGAGGCGTTCGCTCGTGTGTAGCTCAGTGTCACCGGGTGACAGAAAGAAAGGTTCAACCCTGACGTCACGCAGTGACGCAGTGGTCATGTGGAAGGCTCGGCTTTGTGGCCCCTGCTTGAGGCGATATTCTGACAGTGGTAAAGTCATCTAACCTTGGGGATAACACGACATCACCCCTTGGAGTGTCGAAATCTGGCCACTGCTATCCTGCCCACTTTCATCACAAGCTGCTTGTGTGTAAAAGGCAAGCGTCGCCTTTGGGACCACTTTCCTCAGAAGGTTCTGCAATGAGTTGAAGAATTCCACGGCTGAGGGCGAAGTCCCTATTTCTATTTCTGCTGTCCTCTTGGCACTACCCGAGCCACCAGCTGGGTTCCACTCACTCTTTATCCACGCCAGAGCCCTTTGTCACGATATCCCACATGACCTGAGCGGCCAACCAAGCATCTGGATCTTGGAGAAGTCGGTGCCGCACGTGCCGAGGCCCGAGTGCTTGAGTAAATCAAGCACTAGCACTTATAGGAGTGCGATGCGTTCTGGCTTCTCGCAGCGATGCGACATCGCGCTTTTCCAAGACCGTGCGATGGGTCAACTGACCTGTCCACCCATACATTGGTGCAACAAGAAACATGACGATTGTTCATGTGCACCTGGAGCTGCCCATCGGATTAGACGATGCACAGCTTGCTCATCTTGATCTCCTCAAAGAGCCCTTGGCAACAGAGCTGTCCGGAATCGGTCCGCCGCTCATTCCACCAAGTCTCAGCACATGAGGGTTGTTCTAAACCCCCGGCT